TGCATGAGGTAAATTTGAAGAGTGAACTGGTCACAGGAAAGTTTAAAGTGGCTGTATGCAAGACGTTGCCTGTGGCCGGGGTCCACATGTTGCTAGGAAATGACATTGCAGGGGGCGCTGTAATTCCTGTCCCACAAGTCATAACCCAACCTCAGACCTTAACTTGTGTAAATCCACCCCCCGGTATCTCCCCCTCATGTGTTGTCACAAGAGCAGGGGCAGTTAAAAGCGGTGATGATCTCATGAATGTATCCTCTTTGTTTGAAGAAGCAGACTTCAGTTCTCCCCTACATGAACTGTCTGAAGAAAGCAGTTCAGTAGAAACCGAAGTACAAGACATTAAAGATAGTCCAACCAAACGTGTAGTTTCTCGCTCGACCTTGAGATTGGAGCAGAAAAATGACAAAACACTAAGCAAATGTTTTGAGGCTGTGGCTACAACAGATGACACGTCCTCTGGTTACTATGTGGAGAACGATCTCTTAATGAGACGGTGGGTAAATCCAAAACAGTTAACTTCCCCAAGTGTTAGTGTTAACCAGATTGTAATTCCGGAATGTTACAGACATCAAGTTCTTGCTCTAGCGCATGAAAGCCGTTGGTCGGGTCATTTGGGGATACGTAAAACTTATCAGGCTCTCCTTGATCACTTCTTTTGGCCTGGTATGAAGAAGGATGTTGCTCGATTTTGTATGACATGTCATACATGTCAAATGGTGGGAAAGCCAAACCAACCTTTAAAGCCAATCCCTTTAACTCCAATTCCCGTAATAGGGAACCCGTTTGACCACATAATAGTTGACTGTGTTGGTCCGTTGCCTCGTACCAAGTCTGGAAAAAAGTACTTGTTAACTATAATGTGTACCGCTACCCGATTCCCTGAAGCAATACCGCTGGCCTCCATTAAAACTAAATCAGTTATCAGAGCTCTAACTAATTTCATTTCACTCTTTGGCCTTCCGAGAGTGTTACAAACAGACCAAGGCTCTAACTTTAAATCTGAGCTATTTAAAAAGGTGACCCAAACATTAGGGATCCAGCATGTAATGTCTTCAGCCTACCATCCAGAGTCGCAGGGAGCGTTAGAAAGGTGGCACCAAACCTTAAAGAGCATGTTGCGAAAGTACTGTTACAGTTCAAAAGAACAGTGGGATGAAGGTTTACCTTTCCTACTGTTTGCGTCAAGAGAAGCCTCACAAGAATCATTGGGATTCAGTCCGTCTCAGCTGGTTTTTGGTCACTCACCTAGAGGTCCGTTGCAAGCGTTGAAGGAAAATTTCTTGCAAACCGAGAGTGCAAAGAAGGTGAATGTCAACAAATATGTTAAGTCCTTCAGATCACGACTGCATTTGGCCAATGAAGTGGCTCGTAAACACTTGCAGGAGGCACAGGTAAACATGAAAGCTCACTTTGATAAAAAGGCAAGTTTGCGGGAGTTTCAACCAGGTGAACAGGTATTAATGTTAAAGCCTGTCACTGGAGACTCATTGTCGGTACGTTTTGACGGTCCATTTGTGGTTAGTGGTAAAGTAAGCGAGAACACTTACAAGATAAATACTCCTGGTAGAAAGCACTCTGTTAGGGTTCATCATGGCAACCTCTTGAAACCTTATCTTTCTCCAACTCAGGAGGTGTCCGGAGAGTTACCAGTGTGCGCAGCTGTTTCCCCCCCGGCCATCGAACCTCAGGAAGAGTTAAGACAAAGTTCCATTGGGGTCGTGAGTCCCCGATTGAAAAACTCACAGGCGTTGCTTGCTCTAGATGATAAGTTATCGCATTTACCACCGGAACAGCGGGGTGATATACTAGCGTTAATAAATGCTAATTTGGATTTATTTTCGGACACTCCAACAGTAACTAATGTATGCCAACACGAAATTACACTATTAACGGACACCCCTATTAAACAGCATCCGTACAGGGCCAGTCCTGAGAAACGTGCCTTAATGAAACAAGAAACTGATTACCTGTTGCAAAATGAATTAGCTGTCCCCAGTTATAGTCCATGGAGTTCGCCTTGTTTGATTGAGAAAAAACCTGACGGCTCACCTAGACTTATTACAGATTACAGGAAAATAAATGCTGTAACAGTTGCTGATTCTTACCCGCTCCCGCGTATTGATGACTGTATCGACAGAGTGGGTATGTCTAGTTTTGTGACCAAGATTGACCTGTTAAAAGGCTACTGGCAAGTCCTGTTAAGTAAAAGGGCTTCGGATGTCTCTGCGTTTGTTACCCCTGATGAGTTCCTCCAATACAATGTCATGCCATTTGGGATGAAGAATGCGCCTGCGACCTGCCAAAGGTTAATTAACATGATAACTTAAACCTTGTGAACTGTAGTGCTTATTTGGATGACATTGTTGTCCATGCGGCATCATGGACTGAACATGTCACAACCCTTACAGAGTTGTTCAACCACTTGAAAGCTGCACGTTTAACCATTAACCTTTCTAAATGTGAGTTTGTAAAGGCGACGATCTCATATTTAGGTAAAGAAGTCGGGCACGGCAGGGTTTGTATGCTGAAGGACAAAACCCAGGCTATCATGGATTTCCCTGACCCTAGAAACAGAAGAGAGTTGAGACGTTTTTTAGGAATGGTTGGTTATTACCGCTGTTTTTGTCAGAACTTTGCATCTGTGGTAGCCCCGTTGACAGATCTATTGAGTACCAAGGTCCCTTTTATGTGGAGCAAAGAGGCCCAGCATGCATTCACGTCCTGTAAGTCATTATTAACCAGTGCACCCATTCTAAAAGCTCCCAACTTGTCTAAACCTTTCTCTCTAGAAGTTGATGCCAGCCAGGTTGGAGCCGGAGCTGTTCTTCTCCAGGCTGATGATGACTTGATAGATCATCCAGTCGCCTATTTCTCAAAGAAGTTCAGTTCATGCCAAAGCCGTTATTCCACCATTGAAAAAGAAACCCTTGCTTTGATCATGGCATTGCGTCATTTTCATGTCTATGTTGGTTCCAGTGCAAAACTGTTAAGAGTTTATACTGATCATAACCCCTTGACGTTTTTAGATCGCATGTTTAACCAAAATCACAGGCTGATGAGATGGGCTTTGTTGTTGCAGGAGGTTAACCTAGAAATCAACCATAAGGTGGGCGCTGAGAACGTTATTGCTGACTGCTTATCTAGGAGTTGAACGTTCAACAGATAAGTGTGGATGGTGTGAGTAAGTTGTTCTAGGAACAACTTTGTTTGACAGGGGGAAGTGTTACGTCCCCTATTCAGTGGGGCCTGTAAGTGCTTGTGGTTATTATTGTATTTCTTTTTTTTTATGGCATACTCCTTGTGGAGCGGCATAGCGGAAGAAACCTGTCAGCGCGTGAGAACCAGGAAGAGCGTCTCGTCTCCATGGCGACGTCGGGGATTCCCTCAAAATGAACTTGTGGCAGTGTCGTCATCCAGGAACCCTGGTCGAAGCGCGGAGAGTCCAAATGCATGAGATGAGGACTGATTATGTCAGCTGTGCCGGAGAGGATAAAGATGACGTGGGATCAGCTGTTCGGGGAGCAACTCTTACCCATGGGTTGTCTCCCTGCTCCTCACTCCCGTTGAGTTCCGTGTCCGATTGTAATCGAATAGTGTGCGTGTTATAGAGGTCCTACGCTAGACAGACGATGGTTATAGTTTCGTTTATTTGATTTGTTTATCTTGATCCAGAGGTGTAGAACACCAGCCTTTAATTTGTAAAGTTTTAGAGGTTCCAGCTAAACCAGAAAGCTTGGTATATTTTGTTGTATTTTATTCCTGGGGCTGGTTCCCCAGCCCTTTTTCCCTTTGTGTAACTGGTATTATCCTGTGAGGCGGTTATAGTCCCTCCTTTTATGTTATTAAAAGATATTGTTATTTAACAGCCCTACGACTCCTCCCACTCCTTTTACCTTCAGTTAATTACCTGTGCCCGGATCCTAAATTGGAGCCGTAACAACTACACTGTGATCTGTGGTCAGCGAGGCCCACGATCCAGCTAGGAGTCACTGTTATCGCTTCTCGGCCTTTTGGCTAAGATCAAGTGTAGTATCTGTTCTTATCAGTTTAATATCTGATATGTCCTCTATATGAGGACGACATATTAAACAGATTTTTTGTATTAAGGGGTTGAAAGAGGAGCTTGCTCTCTTCACCCCACGCATCGACCTAGCGCTGCAGTGCAGCTGGGAGTGGTGCACTCTCTGATGTTGTGGAAAAGCAATCCCACAAATTATACAAGGCACAAGGTTTCTAAGAGCCTGTATAAAATTTCAATGCCCAGCCACGGAGGTGAAAAAGAGCATTCTGGCACAATTAAACATGTCTGCAAGAAGCACTGGGCACAGTTGTGTGGGAAGTATTTCTTTGAAAGTTTTACAACAAATCGGCCTTTACTTGCCAAAGTCCGAACAATGCATAAACCGGTCATCCAAGTAGACAACGGGTCAGGGCTCACACTTCTTGTCCTCGTGGAAAAACAAGGGATAATTATGGCTAAGAACTTTCTTTAAAACCGAAACTAGATAAGGCATGGAAATAAATTAGACTGGGCCGGGCTCCTGATTTTGTTCCAGGAAGGTTCACCGTAACAAAAACAGCTAGGCCCGCTTGCTGTCTGGATTATGAGGACAATAAAGCAACATGTACTCTGGTTTCTTTTCAGTCTGCATAAGTCTTTCGCCTTTTCCTAAAGACTTCCGTGGAGAGTGACATTAATGAGCATAAGCAAATTTTGCCAGGCTTTGCCTCTTGGCTATGCATCTGTTTGGTTGTGCAATGTATTAAAAGCTCTTGTGTGCCCTTTCAAATTGCAAGTGGATGGGTTGAAATTGTTCTTTGAATCCCTCTCATATCTGCTTCTGACTGCATCACTATTTAGACAGCAGTAAACTATTTAGGGCTGCTTACCCTAAACTTTGCGTGGGCGGAGGTGCAAAGTGGCCGATGTCTGCTCCAAGTCACCACTACACTGTGATCTGTGGTCAGCGAGGCCCACGATCCAGCTAGGAGTCACTGTTATCGCTTCTCGGCCTTTTGGCTAAGATCAAGTGTAGTATCTGTTCTTATCAGTTTAATATCTGATATGTCCTCTACAGTGTTGGTAATGTTACTTTAAAAAAGTAATTAGTTATAGTTACTGATTACTTTGTCAAAAAAGCAACTCAGTTACTAACTGAGTTACAAGATCATAAAAGTAACTAATTACCAACAAAAGTAACTACTTAGTTACTTTTTTCATTAAAGCATGCAAGAATTACTACAATAGTAAAATAGAAAGGACTAATGACTGAACATAATAAAATGTATGTCCAAATGTTTTATATAAACCTGAATAATTTAAACAAATAAGCACTTAACAGGAGGAACTACTAATAGGAACATTACACTAATCTATTAAAAGGTCACTGTGTGATATTTAACAAAAACCCAATCAGCTAAAATTTAAAATTGCAAATAGAAACACGTGTAAAGGTTCCCGAGCCTTTAAATGGTCTCTCAGTCTAGTTAAATTACAGAAATAAATGTAATTTTGCACAGCATTCTAATTTTTACTGCTTCACATAATTGTGTCTTTTTAGTAGCATTTCTGTTGCTGCTAATCTAGTAACGGTTAAATAAATAAATAAATATCCTTTAAAATGACACTAGAAGAGGCACAACCCTGATGGAGGACTTAAATGTACTAACATGGGTCAGACCCAAACACAGAAGAGCTGAAGCTGGGTGGTGAACACACACAGGTAGTTCTAATAACACCTGAGCTCCATGACGTCTGAGACTGATGCATCAGTGTTACAGCGGGACTAAAGACATGATCAGAAACAGGTTACAGCTGGATCATCTAGGAAGGCAGAAGATCAGGACGTCTGAGCGGTGAACAGGTGAGCGGACCTTCAGGACGTCACGCTGTCACGCTAAGGGCACGGCTGCAGACCCGCAGATTCGCTGCTGCAGCAACAAATCTGCGGGTCTGCAGCCGTAGACTATTCATCACGTCTTCCTCGTTCTTCACGGGCCGTGATGCTCTTAAACATCTGCCTCTTTAGCTCCTGATCAGCTGACGACAGCTTCAACACACCGCACTGCTTAACGCACGCATTTCCTTACCAGTAACAGGAACAACGTTTTGATAAAAGAAGACGTAATTAATTAGTTTGCTTGTTACAGAAAGACATATTTTTTATTAACGCGGTTATTTTAAACGGAGTTATTCCCGTTGTGTCTACAGAATGCAGTGACTGAGACAGTGAGGGTCTCCGCCCACCCGGCCAATCATCATCGTGTTTGTAAGTGCGTTACCGACACCTCTCTCTCCCTGGCTGCAGCTGAAGTATGGCGGTCGGAAAGCCTCACACTGTCGCTCAACGTTCGACAAGCACATTATAACGCACAGCGTTCCGTCCCCAGTAACGGTAACGGCGTTGCAACGGCGGGAAAAGTAATTAATTAGATTATTCCGTTACCTATAAAAGAACGCCGTTAGAAATGCTGTTATACTTAAACGGCGTTACTCCCAACACTGGTCCTCTATATGAGGACGACATATTAAACAGATTTTTTGTAGTAAGGGGTTGAAAGAGGAGCTTGCTCTCTTCACCCCACGCATCGACCTAGCGTTGCAGTGCAGCTTGGAGTGGTGCACTCTTTGATGTTGTGGAAAAGCAATCTTACAAATTATACAAGGCACAAGGTTTCTAAGAGCCTGTATAAAATTTCAATTTCCAGCCACGGAGGTGAAAAAGAGCATTCTGGCACAATTAAACATGTCTGCAACGAGCACTGGGCACAGTTGTGTGGGAAGTATTTCTTTGAAGGTTTATAACAAATCGGCCTTTACTTGCCAAAGTTCGAACAATGCATAAACCGGTCATCCAAGTAGACAACGGGTCAGGGCTCACACTTCTTGTCCTCGTGGAAAAACAAGGGATAAGTATGGCTAAGAACTTTCTTTAAAACCGAAACTTGATGAGGCATGGAAATAAATTAGACTGGGCCGGGCTCCTGATTTTGTTCCAGGAAGGTTCACCGTAAAAAAACAGCTAGGCCCGCTTGCTGTCTGGATTATGAGGACAATAAAGCAACATTTACTCTGGTTTCTCTTCAGTCCGCATAAGTCTTTCGCCTTTTACTAAAGACTTCCGTGGAGAGTAACATTAATGAGCATAAGCAATTTTTGCCAGGCTCTGCCTCTTGGCTATGCCTCTGTTTGGTTGTGCAATGTAATAAAAGCTCTTGTGTGGCCTTTCAAATTGCAAGTGGATGGATCGAAATTGTTCTTTGAATCCCTCTCATATCTGCTTCTGACTGCATCACTATTTAGACAGCAGTAAACTATTTAGGGCTGCTTAGCCTAACCTTTGCGTGGGCGGAGGTGCAAAGTGGCCGATGTCTGCTCCAAGTCACCACTACACTGTGATCTGTGGTCAGCGAGGCCCACGATCCAGCTAGGAGTCACTGTTATCGCTTCTCGGCGTTTTGGCAAAGATTAAGTGTAGTATCTGTTCTTATCAGTTTAATATCTGATATGTCCTCTATATGAGGACGACATATTAAACAGAATTTTTGTATTAAGTTATTGAAAGAGGAGCTTGCTCTCTTCACCCCACGCATCTACCTAGCGCTGCAGTGCAGCTGGGAGTGGAGCACTCTCTGATGTTGTGGAAAATCAATCCCACAAATTATACAAGGCACAAGTTTTCTAAGAGCCTGTATAAAATTTCATTGCCCAGCCACGGAGGTGAAAAAGAGCATTCTGGCACAATTAAACATGTCTGCAACGAGCACTGGGCACAGTTGTGTGGGAAGTGTTTCTTTGAAAGTTTTACAACAAATCGGCCTTTACTTGCCAAAGTCCGAACAATGCATAAACCGGTCATCCAAATAGACAACGGGTCAGGGCTCACACTTCTTGTCCTCGTGGAAAAACAAGGGATAAGTATGGCTAAGAACTTTCTTTAAAACCGAAACTAGATAAGGCATGGAAATAAATTAGACTGGGCCGGGCTCCTGATTTTGTTCCAGGAAGGTTCACCGTAACAAAAACAGCTAGGCCCGCTTGCTGTCTGGATTATGAGGACAATAAAGCAACATGTACTCTGGTTTCTCTTCAGTCCGCATAAGTCTTTCGCCTTTTACTAAAGACTTCCGTGGAGAGTGACATTAATGAGCATAAGCAATTTTTGCCAGGCTCTGCCTCTTAGCTGTGCCTCTGTTTGGTTGTGCAATGTAATAAAAGCTCTAGAATGGCCTTTCAAATTGCAAGTGGATGGGTCGAAATTGTTCTTTGAATGCCTCTCATAACCGCTTCTGACTGCATCACTATTTAGACAGCAGTAAACTATTTAGGGCTGCTTACCCTAACCTTTGCGTGGGCGGAGGTGCAAAGTGGCCGATGTCTGCTCCAAGTCACCACTACACTGTGATCTGTTGTCAGCGAGGCCCACGATCCAGCTAGGAGTCACTGTTATCGCTTCTCGGCCTTTTGGTTAAGATCAAGTGTAGTATCTGTTCTTATCAGACGCTGCATCTGGTTTTACGAGTTGCGATCCGCTCCTTGGGGTGGAGAAGGTTATTGCTTAATCTGTAGCAAGACCTTTTCACACAAATAGAGGAGATAACTTGACATTTGAAGTGGTTTGAAATTTGTTAACTTTTGTGTGCTTTTGACTCTGTGGTGCCTCCGTGATGTCGGCGCTTCGCGCTGATGCGAGGAGGCACCACAGTGTGCGATTTCTCTTCAGGTTGACGGTGGAGAAGATGTCACGTCTGGATTTCTCGCGGAAGATGATCCAACAGCTTCTGGGATTTAAGCCAGAGGATCTAAATTGCATCCTGACCTTGCCTTTTAACAAAGGATTCGATGTAAGTTTTCTGACTGAGACACTATGGAAAGACTTCTGGACAAGACTGGAAAAGGTAAAAATGGAGTTCGACATGTTCGAAATTGTGAAACTGACTGACAATACTAGAAAAACAGTGATTGTAAGAATGTTTAATGAGATGGTGAGTGGTGAAGACATTTGTCTTTGGCTGAGTAGATTTTGTAATGTAAGAGGGCAAGCAGTGAAAGTTAGGGACATTGACGGCATTTGGAACTGTGCATGGAGGATACCAATCCAACAGTTTGAGGACCCAGAGGGCTTTCAGGGATTAAAACACCTGCCGCAGGTAATCGTGTTGGGGGAAAACAGAGGCTATATTGATTACCAAGGTCAACCAAAATTATGTAGACAATGTGGGGAGCATGGACATTTGGTGGAGGCATGTGAGAAAGCATTCTGCAGGAAATGCAGAGAAGTAGGACACACTGTTGAAGAGTGTGATAAAGGAAGGAAATGTAACTTGTGTGGAATGGAAAACCATTTGTTTAAAGACTGTCCAAAGTCCTTTGCAAACAAAGTTAAGGCGGGCAAGGGAAAACAAGATGACTTAATTAGGAGGGAAGTGGAGGCACCTGCAGAAGAGCTTGGTGAGTTACTAGAGGAACCAATGACAGAGGAGGAAAAGGGGGCGGAGCTTGAAAAACAATTAACTGAAGAACAGGGAGAACATCAGGGACAGGTGTTACAAATTACGGAGAAGGAAAAAGAAGAATAGAGACCAGTAATACAAACTGCTAAAAGACCAGCTGAGGACTCTTTACCTCAAAGTCCCATTCCAGAGGGAAAAAGAGGAAGGGATGATGTGGTATCAGATGAATCCTTGCAGGAATCTAGAATCTTTCCATCAGACTCTCCCAACGAAACATCTTTTCTTCCATTATTAGGTCAGTCAAGTCCAAAAGATAATTCTGAAGAAACCAACACAGTACAAGAGCTGGAGCAAGGGAAAAGGGAACGATATAAAGCCAGGGAAGAGGAGAAAGAGGATAAAGACAGGGTAAAAAAAGGTGATGGAACAAACAGTACAAGGTAACCTTGGCCCAACACCAGATGAAAGAAAATATTAAATAACTTGGATGATGCTTAGCTTGGGTTTGCTCTAACACTATCTTTCTAAATGCAAATAAAGATAGCAACAGTGAATGTAAGAGGCATTAAAACAGATTTAAGAGCACAAACGGTTTTATCATATTTAAAAACATGTGAAGAAGATATACTTTTATTACAGGAATGCTTTTTAATGTATTGCAATCATTATAGGAGGTGGAAGGAAATGTGGCCAAATCATTCAGTATGGAGCGGCTCAAATGAAAACAGAAATGATG